TCAGCGTGTGGTATGATGTGTTGTCTAAGGATGTCATTTGTGAAAAAAGGGGAGGGGCTAAAAGTGCATCACGGCCTTATTTCTCTTTTCTTAACAGGGAAGAGGAACTCTGTTCTTCAACACAAAGTTCAGCATCACCAAAGTTCTGGCACACTAAACCTTCATGAGAGTGAGATCATCCAAAGAATAGTGCAACACGACCGCGACATGGCCCAGTGCACTCAGCTGAACCAAACCAGCACTGTGCCGAGTATAAACCGTCCGCCTGCTCCTCCGTCACCCACCCCGGTCATCTGGGCCCCGCTGGTTCAGGCTCCGCTCCAGGCTGCGGCTGCCACCACCCCGCTTGCTATGGCCTTGGCCCACCAGTCCCAGCTTCCTCCAATCCTCTTCCACCATCCTCTGGTGCCACGTCCCGGCTCTGTGAAGGACCCGTCCAGCTATTCAAAGAGAGTACATGTTGGAGCGAGCGCCTCCAGTAGCTGTGGTTCAGGGCCCAATTCTCCCACTAGCTCTGCCAACCTTAGATCTGAGGTTGAGACTGCCACACTAGTATTCCCCAGGACACAGCTACTCTCCAGTGGGCCGTTGTCACCCATACTGACGTCTCAGCCCATCTTCACCAGCAGCCTGCAGCCCCTCGCCCCTCTGCACACACACCAGCCTCTGCTCCATCCTCCCCACTCTGGCATGGCGTCGGTGTTTCCCATCAGCCAGGCCACCGTCTCTTACACCTGCTCCGCTCAGCTCCACTCCCAGCCGTTTCACGGTGCTATGACCACCCCACCACGACCGATAGGTTTACTCCAACAGGGGGCACCAGGGAGGCTAGCAGGGAGATTCCCGGCCCCCTCAGCCACCACATTAACCCCTCTTATTTCAAGCTCAATCGGCCCCATACTGAGCCAATTGCAGCAAACCTCCCATATCACCTCACAGCAGGTGGGGTCCAGCAGTGACAGAGCAAGCAGGAGAACCAGTGGCCTGAACCTCCCACATTTTCCCTTCATCACCAACACCCAGTCCTCCGCTGGATTTAATCAGCCAGTGTCTGCAGTCGGAGCCGGGGCCGCAGCCTCTCTGGCCCAGCACAGCCTGGCAGGACTCCAGTCTGTTTTTCTCCCGCAGGTTCTCCCAGAGCACTCAGCCCTCGCCTCCCTGGCCCAGTATGGCTCTGCAGAGGCCTCGCCTTGCTACACGCCTCCTGTCCACAGTCCCAGCATCCAGAGCCCCGTGAGGGGAAGGACAGTATGCCACAGTGAGCTCCCCAGCACTGCGGACTCTCATAGTCCTCTAACCCTTCAGACCTCATGCCCTGCCAGGGTGGCCTGTACCCTCAGACAGAGGGCAGAGTCCTCGGTGGATCTCTTTTCCCAGGAAATAAAGACTATCTCAGGCTCTCACAGCTCTATACACCAGGAAAGGCCTTTGGCCATAAGCGGCTCCTCTGAGGGTGTAGCAGGGGCGCCCAGCCCCTTCTCCTCACCGATGGCTGTCAGTAAACCCTACACCCCGATCCCGGGTCAAACCACTCCTGTCAGTCGGACACATTCAGGGCCTGAGCCTCAGCACCAGTCCGTTGGTTTTCACTCTCCTCCCATTAGATCTCCCGCTAAAATGTTAGAGAAGGAACACAAACAGTCCAAACTCCCGTCCAATTTGTGAGATTTAGACACACCCTCCTTTAATGCCTGAGTGAAGGGAAGATCACTTGGCATCATTTTAACCACTATGTCAAATTTTGAAGTAGGAGGGTGTGCTATAGCTCAGTGGTTTTGTTTTTAACCAGAGTGAACGGATCGAGTTTGATAATGGACAGTGACAGATATATATTTTTTACAGGATACTGCGTCTTTAAAAATGCTAATAACATCCAAACTGTATTGATGGGTATATGTAACACCTCATGAAAGTATCAATTGTTCCGTGTATTATATTCTAACCGCACTCTGTGATTTGTATTTGTTTAAAACCCCATCGTACAGGCAATTTGTGTAACCTTTTAGCCACATCCTATTTAGTTGGAACGTCGTCCACAACTGTATCCAGTTATGATCAAAACCAAAAAAAACCTGCTGTCCTCTGTTCACATCCTTTCCCACTGCTGAGAGCGTCGTGTGAACGCAGGGTTACTCCGTAAGAGATGTGAGGAGAGACAGACTGTGCACTTTGCTCGTTTCAGAAATAACCTGAAGGCTTGACGATGGCACGTCTTCCAAGATAGCTTTCCAGCAATATTGCACACCCAAATGGGTCACACAGATCAGATAGTATTTAAAAATAAATCTAAGTAATGAATGTAATGAAAATGTGTGAGTGGGAGGAGCGGGATTCATTTTGAATGTGTTTAAACATGAAGGTGATGACAGATTTCACAATAGATGCCAACTTATTTCAGTCTGGCAATAACTTTGGTACAAAACATCCACCTGAGCCGAGGTTTGTGTGCCATTAGCATAGTATGCAATAATCTGTGTGTTCTTTTGTCTTGTTTTTTTACTGGTATGCAAAGGTACTGTGAATCGAAGCACTGACTTGAGATCAGACTCATTAAAACAAGGGAACTGAATTTTAAAAAAAAGAAAGAAGCAATTGTCGATAATCAAAACATCCTGAAACCAGCGATGCACTGAGATTGCTCTGAATGTTTCTTGCACCAGTCAAAGGGCTAAAAGCAGTTTCCTGGACTCACGATCAACGAGAACCCCTGATGGGTCATATTGCTGCATATTTACCTCTTTCATTGTACAATATTTGAAAGATTTGACATGTATTGTTGAACAATTGCTGCTTTGTGATGCTATGCTGAATCAATAACGTGTATATCAACTGACTTACTTTTAAAAACCAGACTCTTAAATCCTTCTACTTGTTAATAAGTTCACGTGTTTAGATGATGCGTCTACCTTTGTGGACCTGCAGCCGGTGACAAACTGTGAGCCGGTCGGCAGGTCGGATCATCAGAGGATCCTGTCCAGTGGCTTTAGCTGCCCGGTTGGTGAGCCTGAGGTCTGCAATGACTCTGAGTTCCACAAGAAAGAGATACCATCAGACACTAACCAGCCTCTGCCAATGGGCTCGATCAATCCTTCATTACTATTCTCCTCCAACCGCCTGCCACAGGCATTTGCTTAGAGGTTATTTTGAGTGCATTCAACTTAAAAGTGTGTGTGCGTGTGTGTAGGAGGTGTCATTCGTTCATCCATCCATTCATATATTTATTTATCATTTTGCTGCCTTTTAGCCATCGAATCTCATTCTTTTGTCACCTGTATGTTACAGACATTTTATTTAAGCCTCCAAATTCAATGCAATAAAATGACATATGGTTAATTACCCTCACCTCAACCGTTTATTTCCTTCCAGGAGGAGAGTGTGGGAGAATCTGATAATAAATTATGGCAAAGTTCTAGACTTTAAGCCGGATTAGAAATTGAGAACTGAATGGTGTTGTCTGGTGCCAACAATGAAAATAGCCAGGATTATAATCTGCCAGATACTCAATACAAAGAAATTATCTACCACGTTCATGGAGCGATAACTGCTGGTTCAGTGAGTAAACAGATTTTAAATGCAGGGCTACGGCAAAGTTTTATTAACAGACCTGACAGACCTGATCCTCCATATCCTTAAATAACTTCACTAGATCAGCTGGTTTTGGAAGATTGCTTTATCATATAATGATCTACTTAATTTTTCCTGTGCTTTTATGTAACTCTAAATTTATAAATATTTCTCTTTATATCAACCCTTTGCAGTATTCAGGGATTAAAAATCATGAAACACCAGTCATTGGAGATTTCTGGATATCTGATTTCCTCAGTTAATGCTTAAAGATTGGCATTAATTTAATCAAAAATCTGAAAAAAAAAGTCTAATAGTTTTGGATATTTAATTCTAGCAGCTTCCTATTCATCCTCACAACTAATACAACCAATCACAATGGCTCTAACCCAGCAGCCCACCACAAGCAGTCCAATCGCCTTGATGGCTTTGGGAAGTATGGAAATTTCAAGGAGGGATCAACTTTGAAACTAACAGTAATTTCATGTTTTCCAAACACACAATACGCATATATATATATATGTATATGTGTGTATATATATACACACATGTATATGTATATATATATATATATATATA